TCTGTGTTCTAAGGGCCCTCCCAGCTCTGGCATTGTGTGTCCTAAGGGCCCTCGAAGCTCTGACATTCTGTGTCCTAAGGGCCGTCCGCACTCTGACATTCTGGGTTCTAAGGGTCCTCCCAGCTCTGACATTCTGGGTTCTACAGGCCCTCCCAGCTCTGTTTTTCTTTGTCCTATGGGCTCTTCTAACTCCAAAGGGTGTTATCCCTCCTAGGAACTCTGTCCTAATCTGTGTCCTGGGTGAGGCTGGGCTTCTGACCAGTCTCTCCCTCTCTCTTCCACAGGCCTAGGTGGCCTGGGCAACCCCCAGGCATGGACTACCGACCCTCTCCTCACTTCCAGCCTCACCTGGCCAGCTTTTGCTGTGGGGGGTCTCAGTCGGGGTCCCTGGGGGGAATCTCAGGGAAAACCCCTCCGGGCCTGGAGGAGTTGCCTCCCCCTGCCCACCACCCAGTTGCAGTGTGCCAGCAGGAGAGCCCGTCGTTTGCTGAGCTCCCAGGGTGCTTTGAGCTGGGCCACTGGCCTCTCGAGTCCCCAGCTGCTTCTCATGGGCTGCTGTGGCCGCTGCCGGTGGCGGCCCGGGACACCAGGGGCCCTGCCGGGAAGCCGTCGGCCTTTGGAGGTGACGTTCTCAGTGAGTTCCTAGGAGGACCCCGGAGTCCCCAGCATCCAGAGCCCCAACACCGCACCAGCCACAGTTCAGAGGAGAAATCTGCCTGTAAGTCCATTCCTGCTCCCAGCCTAGGGATGATGTCAGGGGAGTGAAGCATGCCCGTTAGAAATCAGACAGAAAATCCATTCAAATAACCTTTAACTTTTTCCAAAGCACTTTTACATGCATTATTTCATGGGATCCTCACAACAATCCTGTGAAATAAGCAAGGCAGGTATTATTATCTCATTTTACATATGAGGAAACTGAGCCCCAGAGAAAGGAAGGGCTTTGCCCAAGGTCTCAAACACCCTGACCGCTGGGTCCTCCGGGCCTGGCCTCCTCCCCTGAGATTCTCTCTTAACTAAATGCCCTGTGGCCATTGAGCCTGGCAAGGGCAGGGGCTCTGGCTCTGGGTATCAAGCCCGTGCCTCCCTTTATATCCTGGGGGATTGCAGACAGTTCTGGGGAAGGGAGCGAGGGTAATGTCCAAGGGAGGGGAGGTTTTTCATTTCAGTCGAATTACACCAGCATTTATTAGGCCTGCTTGGTGTAGGTCCTGCTGTGGCAGCTGAGGGCGGCGTGCGGGGCTGAAGTTCTAAAGGGTCTCAATTCTCACCTTCTCACTCTACCAGTGACAAAACCAAGGTCGAAGGAGGTTAAGTATTTGCCCAAGGTCACAAGGGACAGAAGTGATAGAAGTGGTATTGGAACCCTGGCAGGCCTCCTGCTTCTGAAACCACTGGGCCACACTGCCTCTGTGACACCAGTGACTTGCCAGATCAGACGTTCCTTGAGAGCAGGGACTGGGCTTTAATAAAAAGAAAATTGAATATGATGGAAAAAAATAAGAAAAGCAACTTTATATGATACAGGGAGATAAGCACAGAGCCCCGTACCAGCAGGGCCTTGATGTCATAATAACAATTTTTAATTTAGCATTTATTATGTGCCCAGCACTGTGCTAAGTGCTTTACAATTATTATCTCCTTTGATACAACAACTCTGGGAGGTAGGTGCTATTATTATCTCCATTTTGCAGATGAGCAAACCGAGGCAAACAGGGTTAAATGGCTTGCCCAGGGTCACACAGCTAGTGAGTGTCTGAGGCTGAATTTGAACTCAGGTCTTCCTGATTGTAGGCTGGGCGATTTATCTGCTGTGTCACCTAGCTGCCTCATTGTATTCCAGTGGAAAGAATCCTGGTTTTGAACCCCAGCATTGACATTTAACCTGTGTAGCAAATCATGGAGCAACTCTGGGGCCTCAGCTCTTAATTTTTTAGTGGTTAGAGCACTCACCGGGCCTGGAGTCAGGAAGATCTGAGTTCAAATCCAGCCTCAGACACTTACTAGCTGTGTGACTCTGGGCAAGTCATTTAACCCTATTTGCCTTGGTTTCCTCATCTACAAAATGGGGATAATAATAACACCTACCTCCCAGGGTTGTAGTATCAAAGGAGATAATAACCATAAAGCACTTAGCACAGTGCCAAGCACATAGTAAATGCTAAATTAAAAATTGTTATTATTACATCAAGGCCCTGCTGGTACAGGGCTCTGGGGTAGTCTCTCTGTGTGACCTTGGGCAAGTCACTTAACCTTGTTTGCCTCAGTTTCCTCCACTGTCATAGCACCTGCCTCCTAGGGTCTTTGTGAATATCAACTGGAGGTAAAGCTATGTCACAAACCTTAGAACACTATTATTATTATTAACTATTATTATTAGAGCACATTATTATTATTAAGAGGCAGCTGTGGTATATTGGATGGAGAGATGGTCTCAGACCTGGGCAGACCTGACTAAGTGACCCTGGGTGAGTCACTGAACCTCTCAGGTTTCTGGGCATTTTTCTAAGACCGGACATTAGAGAGAAGGTGCCACCCTTCATTGGCAGGCAGTCTCCTCCCCTGAGTGTTTCCTGTACCGATGAAATCACCGACACAGTCCCCATCATGATCGTCACCATTGTTTAGGCCTCTGATCTCATATGAATTATTCTAGTGCAATAACAGCTACATTGCTAAATTACATTAAGGCAAAGCTCTTTACAAAAGTTCTCATTTGATCTTCACAACAACCCTGAGAGGCAGGTGCTATCATTAGCACCCCCATTTTACAGATAGGGAAACTGAGGTACAGAGAAATTAAGTGACTTGCCCAGGGTCATGTAGCTACTAGCCGTCTCAGAGGAGATTTGAACTCCAGTCTTCCTGACTCTATCATGCTCCATCCAATGCACCACCTCGTCCAAAAAGTCACTCATTGTGTCAATGGGATTCAAACCCAGGTCCTCTGACTCAAAATCCAGTGTTCTTCCCACTGCCCACTTGACATGTAGACCTGTGCTTGCTGCTTTGGTCCTTCTACCGCTAATCCTAGCACCTAAAAATATTAACAAGGATAAGGAACAGGGATGAGTATAGGGAACTCCCAGACAAGGAGACTCCCTCTGCCTATGAGGACCAGTCTGCTTTGCAGCTTCTGGTCTTAGAGAATTGTTTGAGGGAAACTGAAACGTTTAAGTGACTTTCCCAGGGTGATCCAGCTAGTAAGTGTATAGGTCTGGATTTGAACCCAGACCTTCCTGGATTTAGGCCAGCTTAGGGCCAGCTAGGGGGCTCCATAGTACACAGAGTGCCAGGCTCATCTTCAGTTCAAATCCATCCTCAGACACTAATTAGCTGTGTGACCCTGGGCAAGTCACTCCACCTCTGTCTACCTCAGTTTCTCCAATTGTAAAATGAGTTAGAGAAGGAAATGGCAAACTGTTCCAGTATCTCTGCCAAGAAAACCCCAAATGGAGTCATGGAGAGTCAGACATGATCGAACAGCAACTTTATCCACAAGCTACATACATATGCCTTTCCAACAATTTTCTACTTGGACTCCATCAAAAAAGATGAGAAGAATGAGATAAATAGTAGTCATAATAATAAAAAAGCAATAATAATAACAGGATGTCCATATAATAATAATAACAGGATGAAGTCTTAATGATAATAATTATAATGGCTTGCATTTATATAGCACCTCCCACTGTGCTAAGCACTTTATAAAGATCTCTTCGATTCATACAGCAACCCTTTAAGATAGAGGCTACTATTATCTTCATTTTACAATTGGGGAAACTGTGGCAAGCAGAGGTGAAGTGACTTGTCCAAGCACACATAGCTAGTTAGTGCCTGAGGCCGGATTTGAACTCAGGTCTTCCTGACTCCAGGCTCAGTGCTCTATCCACTGTACTACAGCTTGTCCCATGTTTCTAGCTGAACTCCACTGAACCATATGAGAAGTGTGAGATAATAGTGATGATGATGATGATGGTGGAGTTTATAAAGTTTGCCGAATGCTTTGCTTGCATCTGTCATTTTGACTGTGTGAATGAGCAACTTAAGCCCAACCTACAAAGCCTTGTGGTGAGGGCTTCCTACCCCACCCCAGGGCTCTTTCCAGGACCTCCCCATTCCTGCCCTCATCAGGCTTACAATCTTTGTAAGGACATGATAACTAACACATGGTCCACTCTAAGAGCTGCTCAGCCCACTGGGTAGAATGTTGGACCTGAAGTCAGGGAGACTGAGCTAAAATCCTGCCTCACACACTTAACTAGCTATATAACCCTGGGCAAGTCACTTAATCTCCACCTACCTCAGTTTCTTCAACAGTAAAATGGGGATAAGATTAGCACCTATTTCATTGTGTGGATCAAATGAGATAATATTTATAAAGTGCTTAGCACAGCCCCTGGCACACAATAGGTGATATATAAATGTTTGTTCCCTTCTCCTTTCCCCCTCCCCTGCCCCCAGCAGACAAGTGCATTGAGAGGTGCAAAGTGTTTGCTTGGGAATAGGGTGCCCACTAGGGCACAATACCCAGTGGGTATAGCAAGGAATTCATTTTAACATGATTTTTTATAAGGCTATGTGTTTTTGATGACAGAAGATGCTACCGTTCATGGCTTTCTTGGTCTTTTCTTTGTAATACTTTAGGTCATACATTACAGAAAGGGCTTGAAGCCTTAGGAAGGCAGTTACTCATGGGCTGGGGTAGGGTAAAGTGTGTGTGTGTGTGGTTTCTATCTTTCCACTCTGTTCTGGGTGCATTGCAGAGACTTCAGGGCTCTCTTGCCCAGGTGCCCTTCTGTGCCCAGTGTCTCTGGGAACCTAAGCTCTGCCCTTCCCCCCAGGGCGGAAGATGCGGGTGTATCAGAGCCAAGAGGCCACAGAGAGCCCCAGAGCCAAAGATGAAGATGATGCTGTCTTCCCTGAGGTCGGTGCTGAGGTCCCTGAGCCGCAGTCTGCTTTGGAAGTGCCACGGACCCTGGTGATGGCAGGACCTCCCCAGGCCAGAACCAAAGAGCCAGAAAGGAGACGCTTCTCGGCTTCGGAATTGATGAGCCGGCTCCAGTCTGCCCAAAGAAAGGCCACTCTCTCCCTGTGCCTGGGCAAGAGCCTGACCAAGGACCGCGGGCTCTGGGCTGCCAGGGAAGGTACCAGCTTGGGATAACAGAATCAGCCACTCATAGGACCTCGAGTCAAAGGGCACCTTAAAGGTAGTTCTATCCGGGGCAGCTAGGTGGCTCAGTGGATAGAGCACCAGCCCTGGAGTCAGGAGGACCTGAGTTCAAATCTGGCCTCAGACACAGAACACTCACTAACTGTGTGACTCTGGGCAAGTCACTTAACCCCAATTGCCTCACTAAAAATAAAAAAAAATAGTTCTGTCCAATTCTGTCATTGTACAAACTGGGTAACCAAGGCCCAAAGAAGTTCAATTACTTGCTCAAGGTTGCATAGATCATAGAATTACAGATTTGGAAATGGAAGGGATCTTAGAGGTTATAAAGTCCAACTTCCTTCATTTTATGTATAAGGCAAAGATTAAGTGACTTGGCCAAAGTCACATAGTGTCTCAGGCAGGATTCGAACCCAGAAGACACTGGACACAGAGGAACCCAGACGAGAGAATCCTTATGTCCCTGCTGAGTGGGGACCAAGTATTTGGGCAGGTCCCCCTGCCTCCAAGCCCAGTGCTCCACCTTGCTGAGATTAGCACCTGGTACTGTGGAAAAGAGGGAAGAACACTGGATCTAGACTTAGAAGCCCTGGGTTCAAATCCTCCTTTTGACGCTTCTTTTGGACCTCGGCTTCTTTGTCTGTAAAATGAGGGGGTTGGATGTACTGAGGCCCCTTCTGGCTTTGGGTCTGTGGTCCCAAGTCACTTTGCTTTTCCTGGACTTAGTTTCCTTACTTTTAAGAGGAGGGGGTTCCCTAGATGGTTTCTGGGGACCCTACTAGCTTTGGATCATACTCTAAATCATGCTCTGGCTGTTGTTAGCATCTCCCATGGGTCCCATTGCCCCTGCACTGGGCCATAGGGCCTATGCCCATTGGGAAAGGTTAGTCCCTACTGCCTGACACGGCCCGCCCTCTCAGTTTCCCTGGATATCAAACACCCTGAACCAGCGGTGTGTATACCAGGATCCCCTCACTCTATGAGGCAGGACTGAGGTCAGTCTCCCCATTTCTACTACTTGGCCCTGCTTGTTTTGGTATGGGGTGGATGGAAGGTAAGCATCCTTAAGCCCAAGAAGAAGGCGGGGCGGGCAATGGTGCCATTCTGAGCCCTGGGTCTCACCCAATACAGGGAAAGCCCCTGAGAAGGAGCCGAGCTGCTCAGAAACCAAGGTTGATGTCCTCATGCCCCCTGCCATAAGTGGTGTTAGTGAGAGGGATGACAGCTGGCCTGATACCAGGTAACTCCTCCCCACCGCATGTCTGGACCTCCCAAGCAACACTAAAGGCTGGGCAGGTAGAGGGGAGATAACCTGATGTCCATATTCCCCCCAGGCCCTACCCATTAGAGGAACCAGCCCCCAACGCTTTGGTACCTCATGAGTGGCGCCAGTCACGTTTCCTTCTTAATTGTAAGTAGAGGAGCTACTGTCTCTGAGCTGGCCTGGGCAAGAAAGAGGAAGAGATAGAACCAGAGGCAGAGAGGAGGAGATATAGGGGACCCGACAGCGAGGGTCTGGGGAAGAGCTTGGGCGAGGGAGACCCAAGAGTAGGCAGTAATGGAATCTGGACTGAGACCTTAGAGCAGAGAATATCAGAGCTGGGAGGGCCCTTAGAACACGGGATGTCAGAGCTGGGAGGGCCCTTAGAACACAAATGTCAGAGCCGGTGGGAGGTAAGGGTTGGGGTGAGGGAAACTTAAAACAGAGAATGTCAGAGGTGGGAGGGCCCTTAGAACACAGAATGTTAGAACATGCAGCTTTAGAGATGATCTGGATGGGGGTGGCTTTGGGGTCTGCAGTAACAGGGTGCTAAGGTTGAGCAGGCTGGTCCTAGGGGCTGCCTCATGCCCCCCCCCCCCCCCCCCCAGCTGTGCTGTATCAGGAGTACAGTGATGTGGCCAGTGACCGGGAGCTGCAGCGGCAGAAACATGAGGAGGACACGTTGGGGGAGGAGGCCGACGAGGAGGAGGGGCCCGGTCCACCCTGGGCCAACCTGTCCCCGAGCAGCTCCTTCCGAGCCCAACGCTCAGGTCGTGGCTCCACCTTCTCCCTGTGGCAGGATATCCCAGATGTTCGGTGCAGCGGCTTCCTGGCCATCATTGGCCTTCAGGAACGCAAGCTGCAGGAGGTGCTGGGGGCCCTAGGAACCTTGTGGAGACAGGGGGAGATGGGTCAGATTTTAGGGGAGGCCACAAGGATGCCAGCCTTGGGTGGAGCTCTCCAGGGAGCCCTGGGAAGGAGGTTGTGTGTATGTGGGAGGGGTCCCCTCCATGCCCAGCAGGGCCCCATGGGGAGCTGTGCTGATCTTACTCACCTGTCCTGGGCTCAGGAGGAGGCTGAGGGAGAGATGAAGCTGCTCATCCCTGTTCCCCTCTCTCCATCCCTCTCAAGGCCAAGTTTGAGCTGATCACGTCAGAAGCCTCCTATATCCACAGTCTCTCTGTGGCCGTGGGCCACTTCATGGGCTCCTCGGAGCTGGCTGAGTGTCTGGGGGCCCAGGAAAAGCAGTGGCTGTTCTCCAGGCTGCCTGAGGTCAAGGCCACCAGCGAGAGGTGAGCGAGGCCCTGAGCTGCTCTGGGCCACATAGGGTGTGGTGGAAAGGCCAAAATACGGGTTTGGATGCAGGCTCTGCTACTGACCAGTGACATTGGACGTGTCACTTTCCTTCTCTGGCCTCTGGGGTTCCTTCTCTGTCAGATGTAGGGGCTGGACTAGAAGGTCTCTATGGTTTCTTCCACCTCTGACAGCCTGTGTTCTAAGGGCCCTCCCACTTCTAAAATGGGATCCCAGGACCCTGTGATTGGGCTATTCTGCCTTCTAGGAACTGGCCAAAGTACTCAGAGGGCTCACTTGTGGGTCCAGAGGCTGGCACCTCTGCTTTCTACCCCAGACATGTCCCTGTCTCTCTTGCCTTCAGGGCTGACCACGGGGCAGAGCTTTGGGTCATGGCAGATAAGATCTTTGGGGCAGGGAATAGAGGATCTGGTAGAAGCAGAGATGAGGCGGCCATTCTCCCCTGGGATGGGGTGGGGCAGGATGCCCAAGGCACAGTCTGCTCCCACTCTCCAGGCCATGCTCCCCGCTGTGCCCACTTCCCCCTCTCTCCAGCACCTCTTGCCCACTCCCATGTCACTCCTGGCCCCCACAGGTTTCTGCAGGAGCTGGAGCAGCGCCTGGAAGAGGACATTCTTCGCTTTTGTGTGTGTGACATCGTCCTGCGTCACTGCCCTGCCTTCCGGCGTGTCTACCTGCCTTACGTCACCAATCAGGCCTACCAAGAGCGTACCTACCAGCGACTGCTGTATGGGGCAGGGGCATCCCTGAGGGCCAGGGGAGGGAGATGGAGTCTGACAGAGGCCAGCGACGGCGGGGGCCTCTGCAGGGGAGGGAATGAGTGGTTTGGGTGAAGCCATGGTCATGAACTTTGTGTTAGGTGGGCGTAAAGATTGGGGTAGAGATTGGCCCAGAGCCCCAGTGAGGAGGGGTATCTTTTTGTCTCCCTTGCTCTGGGCCCACTCACTGAGGGGATAGCGTCCAGCCTGAGAGCCCTGGAGTGGGAGGAGAACATAGTTGTCACCAGCAGGTGACTAGTAATAATAATGAACTGAAGGTGGACCACTCTCTGAAGCATATGCAGATGAGAGGCAGCACAGTTTTATGGGTAGAATTCTGTATTTGGAGTCAGGAAGGCCTGGGTTCAAATCCCACCTTAGATACTCACTAGCTTTGTGGTCCCCAGCAAGTCACTTAACCCTGTCGTGCCTCAGTTTCCTCATTTGTACATGACGACCTCTAAAGTCCAGCTCCAAATCTAGGATCCGAGGGTCAGATATTCCCCGCCTGGTTTCAGTCCAAATGACCACATGCAAGCCTTGGGGGGAATCTGTTTCTGGCCAGGTATGACTGATGGGGCCCTTCCTATGGATGATGATGATGAAAAAGTTGTCTGATTGTGGAGCCCGGTTTGCTAAGAGCTCCCGAAAATGATCATAGCTCAACAGTGGCTGACCATTGTGGTAGCAGCCGTCAGAATAATAATAGCTGATATTTATATAGTGATGACAAGGTGCCAAGCACTGTGTGTGAAGCATTTTCTAACTAATTATCTCACTGTATCCTCACAACAACCCTTCAAAGGAGGCGCTATTATTATCCCCATTTTACAGATGAGGAAACTGAGACATACAGAGGTTAAGTGACATGCCCAGGGTCACGTAGCTAGTAAGTATCGAACTCAGGTCTTCCTGACTCCAAGCGCAGGATCTGATTGTCCCACCTAGATGGTGCCTCCTATCAGAAGCAGACAGTTAAGTGGAAGCAGCATGAGGCTCATCCTGGCTCTGCCACTCGCTAATGTGTGACCATAGTATCTTATTTCATCTCTCTGATTCTCAGTCTCCTCCTCTGTAAAATGGGGTGGCACCATCTGCCATGCCTCCCTCCCAGGGCTGCTGGAGACAGTGCTCTGTAAATGGCAAATCCCTAAATGAATGTGAGCTTATGTTCTCAACCCTGTGTTCTCCAAGGTACAAGACAGTCCCTACCCTCAAAGGGCTTAGAGTCTAGCTGATCAAAGAGAACATAAACACAAACAAACGGGCATTTGTTATGTGTCTATTGTGTGCCAAGCACTGTGCTAGGCACTGGGGATGCCAACAAAGAGGTGAGATCATCCCTGCCCTCAGGGATCTTATATTCTAATAGTAGGAGACCTGGTTTTGCTGTATGACCATATCTAGGGGAGGGTGGCCAGCAAAAGGGAATTTTTGCATGGGGAAGCCCAGGGATGAAGAGCAGAGTCACAGGGCAGTCCATTTTCATGCCCTTGCCAGAGCTGGCAAGGATTGGGGAGAGGGAAGCTCTCTGCAGCGTGGCAGATGGCCCAAGATGTTTGTGGTGGTTAGATATGAAACATGGCCTTCAGTCAAGCTAGATACAGTCCTTTGGGCAAATTTTCACTCATTCACTTGCCAAACAAGCTTATCCCCAGGGCAAAGTTCCAAGAGTAACTGATCTAGAGAGGGAGGCCAGGCCTTGGTCCAGATGGGGCTATTCCAAATTGGGAGGCGGGGGCAGCAGCAGGGTGCATGGTAAGATGTTCCAGGATGTCCAGGATGGGTGGAGATGAATATGGGAAAAGGTCAAAACAAATACTGGATGTGCTAAAGGCCAACTAAGTTGGGTAGGTGTTGGATTTCAGGGGAGGAGGAGACCACCATGCTTGGGAGTGATCTGGGAAGATGTCCACCACCTAGTGGACCTTGAGCTGTGGTTTAAAAGAGGGGCAGGATTTGTTGAGACTATCTCCTATAGAGAGAATATGGGAAGGCAATTCAGGACTGAACAAAGACACCCCCACCAGAAAAGAGCCAAAGAAGGCAAGGGCAGAGACCTTGGGCTTGGAGGAAACCAGGGGCATGGTGTATCTGTCAAATAATCAACGAGCATTTATTAAGGCCTTTGTGCTATGTGCTGAATCTAGTGGATGCCAAGTGTATGTGGGCAGTGGCCCATTGGACAAGAAGAGACTGGGGTGGGGCAGGAGGTGGGGAGACACAACATGTTGACTGTCTTTGGGTATCTGAAAGATTGTCATGGAAGAGATCAGACTAGCTTTGTTCTACCTGACCCCAAAGGGCAGAACTGTGAGTGACAAGGAGATAGTGCCTACTGTAAGGAACAGCAACCAGGGCTGTCTCCAGTTAGAATGGGGCCGCCTCTGAATAGGCCCTGGAATGCAAGGTAGTGAGTTCCCTGTCTTTGGAATTCTTCAATTGGACAATGGATGACCCATCTGTGGAGGATGTCATAATGGGGAATCCTTGGCCATGTATGGGCGGGATGAGGGGGTCTCTTTCCTTCCAGTTTGTATTCTGTGATTCTGTGAGAGGAGGGGTGGGGGGTTAGGGGTGACTCTACTTCCCTCCTCTCTCTGCCCTCCAGACTGGAGAATCCCAAGTTTTCTAGCATTCTGGCCCGTCTGGAAGAGGCCCCTGTTTGCCAGCGCCTGCCTCTTACATCCTTCCTCATCCTGCCCTTCCAAAGAATCACCCGCCTGAAGATGCTAGTGGAGGTATCTGGACTGGGAAGTCTTTGCCAATCCTCTGAGTCGTAAACGTTTCACTCCTCCTTGGAGTATCCCTCTCTGTCTCCATCGGGCAGCCCCCAGTGGGAAGACAGCTCCTCTAGGGCAGGGGCTGGTTGCCTGTATATTCCAGCGCCTGGCATGGGGCCTTGCCACAAAGCAGGTGCTTAGTAAGTGCCTGTTGGATGTGATTGGATCGCAAAGCTGTGAGCCAGGCTTAGCAAGGATGGGGAGGATGCCATGGGACAGCCTGGGACACTGGAGCAGCCGACAGTGGTCACAGCATCTGACCTCTAGTCTGGGCGGGCCCTGGCCCATTGCTAAGAGCCCTTCTGGATTTCTCTGGGCACTGGGAGGAAGGTGGGAGAAGGTCAGGGTGTCAGCGGTGTTTGTCCAAACAGCACCTTTCCCACTGCTTTCAGAATATTCTGAAGCGGACCGGGCAAGGCTTGCGGGGCGAGGACATGGCCACCAAGGCCTTCGATGAACTCAAGAAGGTGAGCTGGGCCCAACGCCCAACTGGAGTGCTAAGCCTAGGGACCGCCATCTCTCTGACTCCTCTAGTCCTTCTCACTGGCAGCTCTCCTGATTTGTCCTGGCCCTCCCCAGAGGGGTTACTTTCTATCCTTGAATTTGGTCCAGAGAGGATGAGGTACCCATGCAGAGTCACACAGCAAGTCAAAGCTTAGCCAGAAAACAAAATGCTTGGTGGTCCTAACTTCATGGGGAAATCCTCTGGGAGACAGTCTAGACTCTGATCGACCTCACCCTGGTTAGGGATTGCAGTCTTGACTGGGCTGACACCTCAGGCCATATAGTGACCACAGTGACCCTAGAATGTGAACTGAAAGAAACTTTAGAACAGAGAATGTCAGAGCTAGAAAGGGCTCTTGGGATACAATGTCAGGGCTGAGAGGGCACTTAGAACAGAGTGTGTCAGAGCTGGGAGGTCCCTTAGAACATGGGAAGTCGGAGCTAGGAGGACCCTTAGAACACAGGATGTCAGAGCTGGGAGGGCCCTTAGAACAGAGCATGTCAGAGCTGGGAGGGCCCTTAGAACAGAGCATGTCAGAGCTAGAAGGGGCCTTAGAATAGAGAATATCAGAGCTGGGAAGGCCCTTAGAACAGAGAATGTCAGAGCTGGGAGGGACCTTAGAACACAGGATGTCAGGGCTGGGAGGGACCTTAGAACACAGGATGTCAAGGCTGGGAGGGCCCTTAGAAAACAGGATGTCAGAGCTGGGAGGGCCCTTAGAACACAGGATGTCAGAGCTGGGAGGGCCCTTAGAACACAGGATGTCAGGGCTGGGAGGGCCCTTAGAAAACAGGATGTCAGAGCTGGGAGGGCCCTTAGAACAGAGCATGTCAGAGCTAGAAGGGGCCTTAGAATAGAGAATATCAGAGCTGGGAAGGCCCTTAGAACAGAGAATGTCAGAGCTGGGAGGGCCCTTAGAACAGAGAATGTCAGGGCTGGTAAGACTTTATAGACTATCTAGGCCAACTCTCTCACTAATTTGTAGTTGAGAAAACTAATACCTATTTAGGGGACATTCCTTACATAGAATCACACAAGTAGTGAGGCAGAAAAAGGACTTGCCCCCCAGTCTCCTAATTCTCCCAAGCCAGCCACAGAACTCTTGTCAAAGGCCAGGGCTTCTGAGTTCTGTTCCATGTTCTTCCTCTAAAGTGAAGGAGGGTCTGTGGCCAATGTCCTGCCCTTTCTGAACTTTGGACTTTCTCCTCTTCAAATAACACCAAGCTTAGCCCTGAACTTGAGCCCTCAGCCCCTGGGGGCTGTGTGTGTGTCGGGGGCTGGGGCCAGGGTTCCAGACGGTAGAGGCTCCTGGGAGGTGACCTCTTCCTTGCCCCCCACCCTCCCCAGCTGGTACAGGAGTGCAATGCCAGTGTGCAGTCGATGAAGAGGACGGAGGAACTCATCCATCTTAACAAGAAGATTCATTTTGAGAGTAAGGTGAGACCCTGAGGGGGAGGGGACAGGGGGCCCAGAGTGATGGGGGCCAGGGCTGGAGCAACAGCTCCTGGGAACCTTCTTTCCGAAGGGGATCCCAAAGCCCCTCAGACACCCTCCCACTGGCATGTTATTGAAAATTTTGGCTCCAGTCTTGGCTGGATGACTTCTTAGCTGTGTGACCTTGGGTAAGTTACTTCCTTCCTCTGAGCCTCAGTTTCCTCATCTGAAAGATGGGGATCACAATACTAGCACTAGCTCCATCCCATGGTTGCAAGAACAGCCCATTTGAAAAATGGTTTTCAAGTGCTTTAGACACTTGAATTGTTCTTCCTATACCACAACTTGTTCATCCATTCCCCAACTGATGAGCATCCTCTCAATTTCCAATTCTTGGTCACCACAAAAAGAGCTGCTATGAGTATTTTTGTACATGTGGGTCCTTTTCCCATTTGTATGATCTCTTTGGGATACAGACCTAGAAGTGGTATTGCTGAGTCAAAGGGTATGCACAGTTTTATAGTCCTTTGGGCATAGTTCCAAATTGCTCTCCAGAAGGGTTGGATCAGTTCACAACTCCACCAACAATGTGTTAGTGTTCCAATTTTCCCACAACTTCTCCAACATTTATCATTTGCCTGTTTTGTCATGTTAGCCCATCTGATAGGTGTGATGTGGTGCCTCAGAGCTGTTTTGATTTGCCCTTATCTAATCAATAGTGATTTAGAGCATTTTTTCATACGACTATAGCTATGGCCCCTGTTCTTCTTCTCCCCAGATCTTCCCGCTGATCTCCCAGTCCCGCTGGCTGGTGAGGCACGGGGAGCTGGTGGAGCTGGCACCCCCCACCATGCCTGCTGTCTCTGCTGCCAAGCCCAAGCTCTCCACCAAAGCCATCTACTTGCACGTCTTTAATGACTGCCTACTGCTCTCTCGAAAGAAGGAGTGAGTAGAGGGGCTTTGCAGTTGGAAGGGTCATCTGGGGAGGTGGGGACAGGGCACTCAGTTAGCTAATTGGCCAATCTTTACCAGGCTCAGACCAGGCTTTGCAGCCGCCAGGTGGACAGCAGCACACTGTTAGTGTCAAAGTCAGGACTGGACTCTTAACTTTTTATTCTTTCTTACGTGGAAAAGCTGGCAGAGGCCCCATCTGCGGGAGATGGGACGAGGAGTTACCCACATGGACTGGGAGAGGGGAAAGGGGATGCCTTCTGGGTACTGTGATTAGACACGTAACAGTCGTGGCCCTGGAGTGGGTGCATGGTCCTCAGATTCAAGCCTCTCCCATCTCTGCAGGGGCTCAGAGTTGGGGGGCACAGGCTGATCCGGGTATCCTCTGGCCCCTGCAGGATGGGGAAGTTTGCCGTCTTCCTTTATGCCAGGATGCCTGAGATCCAGGTGAAAGACCTGAGTTCAAAGCTCCAGGGAATCCCAGGCCAGGTCTTTCTCCTCCAGCTCCTTCATAGCCACCAGCCCAAGAACCAGCTGCTCCTGAGGGCTCAGACAGAGTGAGTGCCCTCTCCTGAGGTCTGTTCTCAGGCTGCCCCATTCCTCCCTGTTTGAGGCTGGGGCTGGTGAGCATACAGCTCGGGGCTGAGATCGCCAAGTACAGGGCATTATGGTTGTTTGTCCCACCCAGAGGAGCTCTGGCCTCAGCCGCATTGGGCCTTCTCTCTGGGTACATTTGCCCCCTAAGGCCAGGAAGAAGGTTGCCCCAGGAGTTTTCTAGCAAGAGAGTTCCTGTGGCATGTGGTCCCAGTCTATAAATCTGTATCCCCAGATCCTCAGGGGTCACTCACTGGATTGGGGACAGAGGGTAGCCTGGGCTCAGACTATGGGAGGGCATGGTTCTGGGAGCCGAAAAGTGTGGGCCTTTACTCTGGGCACCTCAGCTGAGCCTCTGAGCCCCAGGACAGTCAGGGAGCCCAGGTTTTGGGGAGAGGGACCTCTGGGTAGCTGTTGGGCCTCCAATGTCCCTCCAGAAGTGAGAAGCAGCGGTGGATCTCGGCCATGTGCCCTTCCAGTGCCCAAGAGGACAAGGAGGCCATCAGCGAGAATGAAGGTACTGCCCCTGAGGCCCTCTGCACGCCCATACTAGTGTGAGGGTCTGAGGACTTGGAAACTTGTAAGACCTAGTTCCTGCCCACCAAAAGCTTGAACTCTAGGAAGGAGATCAAAATAGATGCCTGTATAATTATGGCACAGAAATGAAAGACCACGTAGTCTAACACTGCCTTGGTTCCGTAGGAGCTCAAAGGGGAATGGAATCACTGAGGAACAGGCTCGTCTCCTCAGGAACAGGGAAGGCCTCATGGAGTAGGTAGGCCTTGAGCTGGGCCTTGAAGAATGTGTCCAGTCTAGAGGAAGAGAGGGATAAGGATGGAGAGGGAGTGGGACGGCGGGGAATATCTGAAGGCTCAGAGCCAGCAGGGGACTTAGACATCGTCCAGTCCAGTCCCCTTGATTCATAAAATCACAGGCTCAAAGAATTTGAGCTTCTAGGGACCTAGTCAGCCAACTAGCATTTATTAAGTGCCTACTATGTGCCAAGCGCCTACTATGTGTCATCATTAAACCTCTTTATTTTCCTGATGAGGAAACTGAGGCTCTGGAATGAATTACCTTCCTACTATTCCATAAAATGGGAATGATCATGGTATGCCTGGAGGGTAATGATGAGTTTGACCTGAGTAATATAAGTGAATAATAACCATATTAAGGCAGACCTCAATGCCAGCCTGAGGGATTTCTGTTGTACCTCAGAGCCAACAGGGAGCCAGTGAGTGTTGTCTGAGTAGGAGAGTGACCTGGTCAAGCTAAGAAAATCATTTTGGCAACCGTGTGGAGGAAGGGATTGGAGAGAGGAGAGATTGGGTGCAGGGAGGACAGCCAGGAGGCTATTACTGTAGTCTAGGTGAGAGGTGAGAAAGGTTTGAACGAGGCTTATGCTGTGGGAGTGGGGAGAAAGGGTTGGGATGCAAGAGGTGCAGAAGAGATCTTAATCACCAGTTGGATAGGGGCAGCTAGGTAACATAGGGGATAGAGCACCCTGGAGCCAGGAGGATCTGAGTTCAAGTCCAACCTCAGACATTTACCAGCCAGCTGTGTGACCCTGGCTAAGTCACTGGAGTCCAATTGCCTCTAAAAATTAAAAAAAAAAAAAAAGCAGTTGGAGACACGTGGTCTAGGACAAAGGGGAGTTCAAAATTTGGGGTCCAGGGGACTAAAGGTATGATGTCTTCAACTGAAACAGGAAACTTGGAAGGAGGGCCATGTTTAGGGGGAAAGATGCTGAGTTCCCTTTTTCCTGTTGGGGCATGTTGCTTTTGAGATGTCAGCGGGCCATCCAGCGGGGATGTCCAGTGGGCAGTCGTAGATGCTGGGCTAGGGAGTCATCTGCATAGAGGAGATCATTGAACTGGAGGGAGTGGAGGAAATACCCAAAAGAGAGAGAGAAAAAGCAGGGGAAGAGGGCCCAGGATAGAGCCTGGAGGGAGCACCAACCTTGGAAGGCAGCAAGAGAGTGAGACCGGGTAAGCTACAGAGCAGTGGGGAGAGACAGCCAGCCCAGCCCCTTCCTGCCCTAGCCCTGCCTCTAGGCCTTTGCTTTGAGCCCCGCTCTCTCTGATGCTGTGGACTGTCAGACCTCCCCCAGGTGCAGTGCATCAGAGCCTATAAGGCTCTGGAACCGGACGAGCTGACCCTTGAGAAGGCTGACATCCTGGCTGTGAGGACCAGGACCGGCGATGGTGAGGGCAACATGGCCTTGGAGCCCTGGTCTTTACTCCTTCCTCCCCTTCCTCCCCTCCACAGACTATGGAGCTGGGGTGGAGGGTGTTTCTGGGTAGTTTTATATGAACTTCTCAGGGTCCTTCCCATAACTACCCTCCCCACCAAGCCCCTGCCACATATGCTGATAAAGGAATCCACATAATGCCAGAGCTGGGAGGGCCTTAGAACACAGAATGTCAGAACTGGGAGGACCCTTAGTACATAGAATGTCAGAGTTGGGAGGGCCCCTAGAACACAGAATGTCAGAAGTGGAAAGGTCTCTAGAACACAGGATGTCAGAGCTAGGAGGGCCCCTAGAACACAGGACGTCAGAGCTGGGAGGGCCTTAGAACACAGGATGTCAGATCTCAGAGGGCCTTAGAACACAGGATGTGAGAGTTGGGAGGGACCTTAGAAC